TCCTACCTACTATATATATATATATATATATATATATATATCGCTTCCTGGGCCGCACACGAACAACCAGAAGGAACTATAAACAAAGCTGGGCAAACCCAGCAAGGTGCAGAAAAACAAAATGTGGAAAAAGAGAAAAGCCAAGAATTACAGTCATCACCATGCTTGTTAATTAGTCATGCGGTACTCTAATAGATGCCTGCTTCCGTCTTAGCGTTCCTCTCTTGTAGGTTTTTTTTTTAGTTTTGGGTCGGTCGTTCTCTTCCTTTTCGTCTTCCATAGGCACTTCTTCCCCACTTATTTTTGCCCTTCATGTAGATTTGCGCAGGGCAGCTTGGCACTGGTTTGATTCAGTATGATGCTTGCACACAGACTGACACACAAACGCAGGCACAATGATGGTTTCGATAGGCAAAGAGCTTGAATGAGTGCCTCACTTGTTCAAGGTGATTGCGTCATGGATCCGGTGGGCACCTCCTGCCCGTGTCTGCGATACAATGTAATCTCTTGCTGCTTAAAGTACCGTTTGCCCTCACCAGTGATTAGCACCAAGTTCAGGAAGTACAGCACACGGAAGCAGTTATGGACGTTGGGGTACGTTGGGGTGAGGTGTGGAATGGAACGGAGGTACAGGCGTATAGGCACCACCTCCCCCACAACAGGTGTGCCGTCCATGATTTCAAACTTCTGCAGTGTCTCGCTTTGCATGGCGTCCGTGGATTTTCCGGGGCCTATAAATTCCTTTCGCACCACACCAACCTCGCCGCACCTAATATCCATGTCAGCTACTTTAAACGTGACCTTCCCTAGTACACGTTCCTGGAGGTGAAAAATCTTCTTGTCATACTTGAACTCAATGTGCAAAACGTTTTCGACGCCCACGTCCATAGATATAGATTGTGGGCCAAAAACAGTCTCACGAAAGTAACTTGGATGTCGTGAAGCATCTGACTGGGTCCCGCTCAAGTACGCATCCACCTTACTCACCCACACCTCCTCCACCTCTGTGATGTTCTTTACAGGACGGTATATAGTGGCCCGCACATAATACGACACACGTGCGTTGGTGCCACGGTATGACTCGTACTCCCTTGGTGCAGTAAAGTGAAACTCCAACGATGTCATGGAGCAAAATGTGTCCGGCTCAAATTTTTTTTCCTGCCGCATAAAGTCTATTTTTTCCTCGCTCTCCCCGAAGGTAGTGATGACCCCCACAAGTTCCAAGAGAATGCCATTGTGACGGTACGTGCCCTTCGGTGTCAGCACCACGCGGCCACAGACTGGCTCCGAACCGGAAAATAAATGCATCCGCTCACTTGTGCGCTCGTAGGGGTCGTCCACAGTCACCATACTCTCATCCATCTTGCCGTCAAAGATGAAGCGAACCACGCAGCCGTCCACCTTGCGGAGAAGCCGACCAAAAAGGCCAGGACTCCGCTCCTTCTCCTGTAGTCGCTCCTTCTCCAGCATACTAAGGGCCTCTAAGTGCAGACGGCAATCGCATATGTTAAGATTCCATGACAAAAAAAAAGGGTCCAAGCAAGCTGATACATATAATATATATAACCAAAAGACACACAAAGAGAAAATAGGTTTCATCAAAAGAGGAGCAAGCATCCACAAAAAAAAGTTACTGGAATCTGTAGTGTTTGTGCCTGCATGCGCACAGAATCCCATCCTGTGCGCTGTCGGTCACCAGCCGCAAAGCAACTCCTAAAGATCACACTAGACAAGTGCAATCGATTGCGTACAACAACAACAACAACAAAGCAAAACAAAAAATCAGATGAGGCTATGCCTCAAGACACATGCAACCTACGTAGATTCGTTAGCCTAACTTTACTCCCCTAACAGTACATTTTACTCCACTTTCTTTTTTTTTTTTGCTCCTTGACCGCTTTGCACATTCGCTTGCTTGATTACAAGCGCCTTCCTTTTCCTTCGAACACTCCGCCCCTCCACTTCCAGGCCATCAAAAAAAATATATATATATAAAATACAGATATGCACAAAGAAACAAGAAGAAGGTCAAATAGGGCGGACCAGCAACAGTGTAACCAAACACACAATAAAGAAAGGGGAGGGGGAAAGGTCATTAATACAACGCAGCAACAGAACAAGCACGCCGGTTGGGGTGAGTTGGGGAGGGAATCTAAAACAAAAATCATCATGTACCAATGTGCAACTAAAGAAGAAACCGAAACAGAGAGCAAACCACCTACATGTTTCTGTTTATGTACATAATCTGCGTACACCTGATAACTTTCACCGTATCCCCTTTTCCCCATCTGTGTCATGGACGGGCCTGGGTGATTCAAAGCGTCAACCCCCCACCCCCCACCCCGTTGGGGGGAAAACGATGATATGGACAACTACATCTGCACTCAAAAACGCGTTTTCATCGCCATCCAACCGAGCCCTTTTGCCGGGCGAAAATCTGTCTGCCACATGCCGCAGACGCCTATCAGCAGCGTGAAGAGATCAATGGGTGGCATATCCGCAAGTACGCCATACGCCGTGAGTGTATGTCCCCGTTTTTCCGCTAAACATCGTGAAGTTCGTTGCTGCTGCATGTTGCCGTCCTCGCTCTTTGCAGTTGCTTTCTCTGCGTTCATCACCCACGCCGTTGAGTCTTTCCTGGCATTGCGATGCGGCACGCACACCGCAAACTTTACTCTTTTGCCCACAACAGTGTGGCGTGTCAGGCTGTCTGTGACGACATTTGCGTCACCCACAAACTGAAACACCTGCACAGAACGATGCAGTCTACTTTTCCGCAGGGCAAAGCGAGCGTGACGTTTGGCGTCGCAGACAATCACATGATGATGGATGTGATGCCCACTCTCGCTAAGCAACTCACCCAACATCATCCGTTCCTGAACTGTATCCAATATTGAGCTGATTGGGTTGGAAGGGGAAGAAGGAGAGACGGATGCACGTGACACAAGGAAACCCGGCATGTTACCTTCTGGAACGCCGTATACAAAGTTGTGTTCCAGTTCCCCGATAAATTTATTATCGCAAAATCCAACAATTCTTCTATCGGTGCGCCATTCAAGATTAATTGACATCTGATTCCTTTCAGGTAATACCGCCTGCACGCTCCGCTCATTGCATAAAGAGACCACAGACTCTTCCCCGCTATTAGAGCAGAAATTCATGACCTCTGGAGAGCCTATTTGCATCAGTATTGGAGTGGCACCGTCTCCGACGTTGGAACCAACGCAACTGTGGAGACTAAAGAGTTCCAATGTCTCGCTGTTAGTTGATACGGAGCTGATTGAGCCTTCTGAACACCCCAATTCATGGTACTGAGATGCAGAGGGCAATAAAGTCTTTGCCTCAGTGTCTGTGTCTAGTTGATGTTTCCTAATGATTCCTGTTGTATCCTGATGCACGCCTGACAGCGATAAAGCCAATGTCACTGGTGTATTTGTGACATCTGGTGCCGCTAAAGAGTTTCTGACTCGCTGGGTTAACACTTCAGTGTGTGCCTTTGCCCCCAGTCTGGAGCCGCGTTTAAGACGCTCTACTTCGGCCCTAATCATTTCAGCTACCTCATCTCCTGTCCCCTCCCCTCCACATGACGGCGGCAGCTGGTCTTCTGCAATAAACGGACGAAGCGTCTCCGTCGTGGGGCGCCCAGAAAAAAAAATGCACCTTATCTTGCACACGTCGGTCTAGCAACGGCCTTACCGCCTTCCACGCCCCTGTCACAGCCCAACCAGCATTGAACACAAGAATGCGACACATAATCTCTGGGTAATACTCCTGCATAACCTTTGCAAACTCCCGCGCAAACGCCAAGGTGTGGGAGTTGACAGATGATATATTTGTATGGCAAAGGTCCAACACAACCATGCAGCGATCCACCTGCCTCTCCTTTGCTAGAAAACGTGCTTTCTCCATCACCTGCATTTGTATTCGCAGAAGATCCCTTTTAAAGCCACCTTTTATAAGCGTCACCAGGAGCCTGAAATCTGGCGTGTTCCACATGACAGGAAGCCCATCCTTGTCAAAGCCATACAATACAGAGGCGGTCGACTCAACATTCCCACAGTACTGCTCTGCAATAATGCTGTTAAGCTTCTGCTCTTTCCGCAGGGCAATATAGTTCCGCAATGATACCTCCGCCGACTCAACTTTCCACTGCCTGCCAATGAGAAATCTGTAGAGCAAATCACAATCCGAAAGCTTATGGTTATCGTCAAGAGGAAGAATATCAGCTACACGGGAGTGAAGGTCCAAATTCTTACGCTTATGCTCCTCCGTAAGGACGGTCGTACCGGAGCGCGTCTGTGCAGCGTGATCTGCCTCATACGTCGATTTTCTAACCACCACCATTTCTGCACATCCAAAAGAGAGAGGCAACAAGAATATATATTTTAAAAAAATAATACTGCCAAGGGTGGGGCCTAAAGACTACAAAAGACCTCTCGCCACAACCACAAAGGGGGAAAACAAAAAAAAAAAACGTACACGTACAACTCACCACTGCCCCACCTAGGCCCAACAACGCCGCGGATAACGTTGAGAGCAACTGCAGCGCCTCCTGTTGTTGAGTATGACAGAACTAATACTTTCTTCTTCAACCTAAAACTCCACAATAAATTTTGTAGTCCTCCTATCCTCCTTTTCGTTTTTCCTTGTGCGTGTGTGCTGTTGTGGTTCTCTTGCTTGTTGTCTCCCTTGTCTTAATTGTATCCCCTCCGTCTTCGTTTCCTGCCTTATTTTTTCGTCTTCTTTTCCCAACCTATCAGTACTGTTAATGGAAACTCTTATATAACTACTGCCTGGTGGCACGACGCTTGTATGTATGTGTGTTTGACCCACTTCGTCTTGTGCAGTCAACTGTGCGACTTTTTTCGCTATTTTCGTGCGCCCCCTCGCTCACGTAAGCACCACGCACTTGACCTCTAACGCTTGCACTGCCAAACAAAAAAAAAAAGAACAAAATATGTTAAGCGGCCCTCAGCTTCAGAGGCATGCGTCACCTTCGCGCAACACCTCACAAATGGAAGGGACTTCAAACTAGTTCCTCTTTGTTGACTTGGGAGGAAAGGATGCGGTGTCGTTTTTCGCAGGCTGCTATACACCCCACCGCTCCAGCGTCAGCAGCCGGAGAAGCAACAACACACAAAAAACAACAACTTCACACTTACTTGATTTTGATTTCCACTTCCATTATATAGGAGGCTTGTTTGCATCATTGCCTGTGTTGGGCCTGGGGGAAAAAAGGAGCGGCTCACAGTAAAGGGCAATAACCAAAACCAGGCCTTTCCCCCTCTTCACATTCACACTCTGTCGCAAGCACACCTCTATATTGATGGATATGCTTGATGTGTCATATGCCTCGGGACGTTCCTCCTGTCCTCGTTGTTTTTTTTTTTTTGGTTGCTCACACGGCATTACCGCGAAGAGCGTTGAACTTCTCCAACAGTTCATCTTCGTCCCCATCAACCGCATTCTCTTCCGCTGTCACCTGTTGCGTTTGCGGCAGCCTGACCTGGGCGACTGTTGTGCCCTGCATTTTGTCCTGCATGACCTCCTCCACCACCTTGTTCACCTCGTCATCCAATTCGTCATCAGTGATGTCTTCGTCTACGACATTGTCAACGGTGTCATTTATCGCCTCTTCTATCAAACCCGCCTTCATCATCTCTTTGCTCATTTCCCGCATTGTGGCCTGCACCTCTTGTACATGCACCAGCCTGTTCATCTCTGCCATGATGGCTGTGCTCTTCTTGATGCTACCCGCCAGCTTGATCCGCGACGCCTGCTGCTGCAGCTGCATCGACACTGAGTTCATTTGAGTGCGAGCAACGTACAAACGCTTCACCGCATGACGTGACCGAAGAATCTCCTTTGCAAGCATACGTACCGCAACAGGATCACCCTTTCGTGCAGCTGACTTTGCCTCCTGCTTTACTTTCATCTCCTCCCGTTGAATCTTTCTAATTTGGGTATCAATCTTGCGCATCTCCGAATTGAGGTTCCGCCGCCACAACTTTGCTTGCTCCTGGGGGTCTACACTTTTGAATAACTTGCCAAACATTGGGGCAGCTAATATAGCGCGGTATGCTACTGTATCCAAACGTTGTAAACACCAATCTTGACTCCAGCCAAGACGTAGATGAACACATACATTGTGGTATGCGTGTGTATATTAAGGAACATAATTATTAGAATAAAATAGAAAAAGGAGGAAGCATACATGGGCTGTGGCGTGTAACATGTACGGAAGTAAAGAGGCGAGAGGGCAGCAGATATCATCATTACATCATCCAGAAGAAAAAAAAAAAATCTCATATGTGAAAAGATAAACAGGGTACCAATGCCCGTGTTTGCACACAATCGCCAGCACTCAAACACCATGACTGTTCTTTATCGTATCTCTCTTGTTTTGTTTTTGCTTTTACATGGACCTCATCAATCTGTGGTCCACCCTGCCGCCCTGCATCGCGCCCGCTCCTCCTCCTGTTCATCCCTGCCATTGCGACACTGAATATCTGATCCCATCCGTGTAGCTTGCACCACTAAAGGTGGCTGCAGCGTGTAGCACACAGGGGATGTCACATATGGAACGCCACTCTGGACATCCGATGCCACATGCAACGTCATCATCGTATCCAGTTGGTACGCCATCGGTAGGCATAACTGTAGTAACTGACGAGCCCCTTGATGGGATACAACGTAGCAATTCGTCGTTCGGTGCAACTGAGGCACACGACTTACGCCCTCCGCAACACGCAGCTGAGATGCCTGATGCGCCGTGTCAAGCCCGCTCACGTATACAAGTTCCCAATCCTGCGGAACATGCCGCATGCGCTCCACGTACCGTTGTTGAAAATCATCTGAAAACAAGGAGTCATCCTCTACAACGAGAACACAGTGATGGCGCCGTGCCGCAATGGTGGCCCAAATCAACGCATGACTAAGTGCACACCCCACTGCCGCAGGATTCAAATCCATCCCCCAAATTCGGCGGAACTCGCGCTCTTGCACTCGAAGAAGACCTAACAGTGACACCAATCCACATGCCCGCGCCTTTTGAGCATCAACAGTGTGACCATCAATCGCACCAAATCTCTCGTACTCCCCTTCACGGAAGCCCGCACGCTGCAGCTGCCGTGAGATGAATGCCCAACGGTCTGGGCGCCGATCGAGATTGATAACGTACACTGCGTCAAATGGGCGTGATGATGCGGAACTAAAAGAAGATGCTGGACAGCGAGTCACAAAGTGTGGGAGGCGAATAACGTCATTGCTGCGCCAACCACTACTGCTGTTGAGACTTGTGTGTAGCGCTGTGTAGCTCCACCGACGTACTTTCATGCTTCTGCCTCGTCTAATGCACGTGTCTTCGTTTGCAAGGCTTCCACGTCTCTCATGTGAGAATTCAGTCCTTTAAAAGATATGTATATATAGTTTGGCTGCTTGGTTGTTTGTCCCTCCTCTCCTCCCTTCATCAAAATCAAATATGCGATAAGCAAACAAAAGAAATCTCCAATAAACGATGATGCCCGGGCTGGCAGCAAGGCGGTATAAACATGGCAAGTAAACAACATGTCATTAAGGCAAACCATTCACTCACATTTTTTCTATTTTTCACCCCGTACCCCCTCGTTCCCATTTTCAACCTCTCTATTTCTTTTTCCGTTTTTATTATTATTATTATTAATACATGGATAGTTGGTGGTTTGAAATTCATGTTTTACGTTATTCTTTCCGTTTTGCTTTCCTTCTGGTTTTATTGTATTCTGCATCGTTTCATGTTCGTTTTGCTGCTTCACAAAGTCTCTGTGTCAACGCCACAAACACCCTATCAGCGACGACCAGCGTGCTGGCCCCATGATCTTCGATATGCTACCAGGTAGCGGTTCCACCTCCAGAAGATCGTCTAGCTCCTTTCCCTTCACTATATGAAGGTACATGCCCTCGTGTTCCCCGGTGACCACACGGTAGGAGGCTGCCAAACTGGCTCCAGGCGTTTTCAAAAGTAACTCCTTCTCCCGCGTAATCTTCATCATATATTTAAAGCTGAGAATGCTGGCGTTGCTCTCACGGTATATCATACGCAACAACATGTTCGTCTGAGAAGACAGGCACTCCTGACGCGCAATCGTGTAGCGATTCTTCCATTCTCCGTCACTGTCCAGTGCGGTCCTTATATCGTAACGATGCTTCAGGGAGTCGTACTCCCATAAGTGCACTACCTGATTGACTCCGCCAAGTTGGACTATCCAATAGGCCTGGCACGTACTCACAGAAGCACGTAAAGGCAACAACTCCGACGTCATACGATAAAACTTGTCGTATTTATTTGGTAAAACATCATAGATACGAAGTTCATAGACCTTTTCCTTGGAAATGTTCAGTAGAGGCCACACACGTCGCAGCATTGCCTTTTTGGTGTTGATTGCTCTCTCTTGTAGTGACTCGTTATTATTGTGCTTCCTCCGCCTCTCACTTGGCGCTTGCAAAAAGCCCCCGTCCCACCGTCACCCCCCCCACCCCCCCAAAAAAAAAAGGTATAATAATAATAATAATAATAATAAAAGATTGAGTGAGAAACATCGCGGCGCAACAAGATCAATATGTTTGATCGTTTCCCGTTTTGTCTAGCCCCATTCCTCCCATCCTTCATTCCTCCAATCTCTCCCTCGTTTTGATCTCTTTACGCATTCGCCTCTCCTTGGCACATGCATGCCTCTTTCTCCGTCACTCTCGTCACCGCCACCAGACCGCTTTAAATTGCTTGTGCCCAACGCTCATGCATGTGTTTACACACATAACCTCACTTTCCACTCCACCCTTCCTCTTGCGTAAGGGGGACTCCCTCCCCCACACCGTCCCCTGGTGTCGCTGCACGCATAGGAAGTACGAATTTGCGGAGATGGAAAAGACGGGAAAGCTCAAAAGGCCATGAAAAAATCACATACGCGTCTGTGTCTGTACATCGAAACATGCAAAGCAAAAAAAAAAAAACGGAAAAATAAAGACAAAGGGTTAAAAAAAAAAGCGCAGACCTACCCGACATCAACACCACCAGTAACCCTAATGTCTTCATACACAAAATTCCCACGGCGGCAACCAGCGTCACATAAAAGTTGTTTGTTATTGTTGTTGTTGTTATTTTTTTTTGTGCATACAAACAAGCACGCCTGTACCGATGTGCGCGTAAAAAGAGAAGCTTTTATACTTACACACATATATGTATATATGAATACCGCACCACTCTCGTCTTCAATTTAAAGTCGTTTTCATCCTCCGTTTTTTTTTGTTTCTTATTCCTTGTGGGGAGCATCCATTTCGTTTTCGTTTTTTTTTCCCCCATTTCTGTTCGCCTTGAGGATGAGACGAAGTGAATGATTGTTGATGTTTCTTGTTGTTATTACTGTTTTCCATCACTTGTGGAGGGCAAACATTGCAAGCATCGCCATCATCACCATCTGCATCCTATTGGAATCGGTATAGATAGATATTGATGCAATCTGAAGAGGGAGATAGACAAAAAGTTATTTCCGACCAGGAAAACAAAAACAAAAACAAATAAAATAATAATAATAATAATAATAATAATAAAAGAGCACGTGAACACTTGGTGTGTGTGTCGTATTCTCCTCTTCCTCAGGCGAGAGAGCTCCTACGTGTGTGTGTTCTTACGTGTGCTTGTGCGCCAGAGGAGCGGGACACATCCGGAAGCACATGAGGAGGGCGGAGTTGCTCTCACCTACTACGAAAAGACCACCTCGCAAATGTGGCGCTCCTCGGCATCGTGCATGCTCTTGTACCCGGTTGACGGTGACGCGCTAATATCTCTACCAGCGTACATCAACTCGCGTTTCCCGCCCGTGTAGAAGTCAATGCGTGCCCCCACATGATAGTACGCACCCTGGTTTCTTGGCTCCTCTTGTGCCCACATCAGCTCAGCTTTGCTGTAGTCCCCGAGTAACTTCTGCACCTCTGCCACAGGAAATGGTGAGAGCTCCTCAATGCGAACAATAGCCACATCTGTGTTCTTATTTATATTACGGTGGGCCTTGAGTATGTGGTACAGCTGTCCAGTGCACAGCACAACGCGACGCGCCTTCTCTGGCGGCACAGATGCGTCCTCAATGACAGGGCGGAACTTCCCAGATGTGATCTCGTCCATTGTGGATTCGTTCGGTGCCCGAATAAATTGTTTGGAGAAAAAGAGAATAAGCGGTTTACGGAAGTCTCTTCGCACGTGGCGCCGCAAAAGGTGGAAGTACTGTGCTGGTGTGCTGGGGAACACAACCTCCATGTTCACACGGTGAGCACGTTCCTCCGGGGAGTACGCAGGAGTAGAAACATCCTCTGAAACAGCCTGCAGGAAGCGTTCAATACGTCCGCTACTGTGTTCCGCGCCCCTCCCATCATAGCCGTGTGGAAGTGACACCACAATGGCCTGCTGCTGGTTCCACTTGGACTCCCCAGAAGAAACGAATTGATCAAAGATAATGGTGGCACCGTTTGCAAAGTCGCCATATTGTGCCTCCCACACAACCAAAGAGTTGGGGTCATAGAGGGAGAAACCACTAGCGAAGCCAAGCACACCGTACTCACTGAGAGGGCTATTGATGGCAACAAACGGGGCTTGATCCTTACTGATGTGTGCAAGTGGTACGTACGTGTCAACGACTTTCTGATCATGCAAGACGGCATGACGTTGGGAAAAGGTCCCGCGCTCCACATCTTCCCCAAGCAGACGTACTTGTGTACCTTCTAATACAAGCGAGCCAAACGCCAACGCCTCTGCTGCTCCCCAATCAATCCCCTCACCCTTTTCAATTGTTTCATTACGGCGATCCAGAACAGACTTCAACTTGGGGTGTACAACAAAGCCGTCTGGCACCACCTTAAGTGCATCAATTACAGGTTTCAATTGTTCGAGAGAAACAGCTGTTGGCTCCAGCTTGACATCACCCAACTGATCAGAGTACGTCATATCTTTCCACTTCTCGGGGATGCTGGACTTGAGGACGCTGCTGTAATGCACTTGAGATGCCTCGGCCTGATACTTGCCATACCGTTCCTTTTCTGCGATAGACTTTGCTGTCTGCTGCTTTGAAGTGATGATCCCCTCCGCAACCAAATTTTCAGAGTATCTCTTGAACAAATCACCCACTGCATTGATACGGTTATACATGAGAGGCTGAGTAATAGTCGGGTCATCATTCTCATTATGACCAAACCGTCGGTAACAGACGAGATCGATGACGATGGACTTTTTGAACTTGGCCCGAAAATCGGCAGCAAACTGAAATACGCGAACGACATCTTCTGGCGAGTCCCCATTCACGTGTAAGATAGGGCATTGAAACACACGTCCCAAATCTGTGCAGTGTGCGCTACTGCGAGAACAAATTGGGTCCGTGGTGAATCCAATTTGATTATTCACCACCACGTGCACAGTGCCATGTGTGGAGTACCCGTCAACCTCGCTGATACACATTGTTTCAAAGACAATACCCTGACCACTGAAGGCAGCGTCACCATGAATCTCAACTGGTAAAACAGCGGAAGGTCCATTTTCCCCCATTGATTCCTGCACTGCCCTTGTGTATCCCTGTAGAACAGGGTTTACCGCCTCAAGGTGTGATGGATTGGGAAGCAGCTCGGTGATCATGGACTTTCCATTACGCATCTTCATGGTAGATCGCGCCCCCAGATGATACTTCACGTCCGACTGAATCTTGTACGGCTCCAACTCCGGTCCTGTGATTCCGGTGAACTCCTTCAGTATCACAGGGAACGGCTTGCCAATCACGTGGTAGAGGACATTAAGGCGACCACGATGTGCCATGGCCATATGTACTCTCTCCACACCATTTTTGGAGGCGGCCTCCATTAGGGCGCGCAGACCCAGGACAACAGACTCCGCCCCATCAGCACCAAATCTCTTTTGCGTCGAGTACTTGCGTTTAAAAAAGTCTTCAAAGTGAACAGAAGAAGCGACAAGGTCCCAAGCCCACATCTTTTCCTCTTTAGTGAGAGTGCGATGCAAGGGATTGTACGCCCCATCCGACTCCACCACTTCTCGTAGGAAGCGGGAGACATCCTTGTCCACAATATGCGACAGCTCGTAACCGACTTTGCCACAAAACCTCTTGGTAAGGTATTCATGTAGCTCTTTGATCGTCATCGGACAACTGTGGGTGTTCAGCACACCACCCACCTCGTCCTGGAAACCGACCCGCACCACACGATTATAGTCATTTGGTGTAAACCCAAAGAAAGCAAGATCAAGGCGCAGCATTTCCTTAACATTGCGTAATGGAGCCCTGTTAGAAAGTTTGTCATCGTCCTTGCCCAAGGGATCGGTGGAAGCCACAAGGTGGCCCCGACTTTCAAAGGCCTGAATCATCCACGTCAGCCAACCACAGTCCTTTAATGACTGCTGCACAGTCACAGTGTCTTCAGACGTCGTGGGCAGAACACGAATAGCCGAACTCAGAATCGGTGTGTCATACGACTGCATCTCCCTTGCGCCAAAGACGGCGTCCCACGAGGGATCCACAGAGCTCCTGTCCGCCTTCCAGCTCTGGTATAGGGTTTCGAGATACATGGCTGATGCACCGCTGAAAAAATTGTCATGTTCATGCAGCGGTCTTCGTGCAGGGGTATCTGACTGACTGCTTTGATGCCGCAATACAGCCATGTCTGGAACGTGGCGCATCACACCAAGCCCCTGCGATGCAGCCACAACAGGAAACATTCGACGCATCATTCTTATTGTTACGTTTTTTTTTTCCCCCCCCTCCCCTAACAGGTAACCCAATACTCTTATTTCCCTAGATGCTTGCTATTCTCCTTCGTCGTTTCCTTTTCTGAGCGATTCTTCTGTTCGTTGCTCCTTCTTCCTACTCTGTGGCGCTCAGCCAAACTTCAGCAAAGAACAAAAACAAAACGAAACAAAACAGCATAGACACAACACCCACAAGTCGCATATATACCAATATGCATCCTCAAGAAAGGCATTTGCCTACCGAGTGCCTCGAAGACTTGCAGACCAAAACAACCCCCACAGCGCAACCCGTACCTATTCTCTCCTTATAAGCCACTTAGACAGACACGAAAGCAAGGCAAAGAGACGCGCTCACGGCAACGCTGAGAAAGGCAAATTGAGTTTCGCGCGTCGGCACTTGTGAACACCATCCCGAAAGGTTACTCATCCAATAGACACATGCTACGCTTGCTCATTCACGGGCCTCAGCGTTTCAACCGTACGTCAGAGCAGAGCAGCGCTGATTCGGCAATGCCAACAGCAACATCAACAGCAACACGAGCATTCCAACCAAGTGTCCATCAAGGATGGGCCTCCGGTCTTGCCAGAGAGCACTGCTCCCCACACATAGTCTTTCGCACCAGCTAAAACAACATGCCGACACCCCCACAAGTTCAGTTCAGAAGAAATCCATCATTTGGTCCACCGCAGATAATGCCTGGAATGACAAAAACATATAATCCTGACCCTCTCTCCCTCTGTATGTGTGTGTGTGTGTGTCGCTGCAGACGAACTTGCAGCGCCAACAGTGTGAAAGCAGAAGGCACACCAGCACGCATACAACCACAAGAGGTTTAACGAGTGGCCCACGGACGGACGGCAGATGCGGCACAAGCCCCAAACAAAAAGTGAGGTGAGGACCAAAAAAACAAAAAGAAAAAAAACAAAGCTTCGAACAACCCCTCACCCAGAAAAACAAAAACAAAAAAAAACATTCCGGCAACCTGTTTCTCCATCTACTGTGTGTATTTGTATTTTTATTGCTTGCACGAAAACAAAAAGACCACCTAGCCTCACAGTCGTACACGCACACACACGTTTGCCCCTCACGATGTCGGCGGCCCCGTGCCTCGTTTGGGCAGTCCGTACAACGTACTGCCACAAGACTGGCGTCGTGTGTGTGTGTGTGTGTGCGTTTGACGGCAGCCGCAAAAAGAGAGGGAACAGTGCTCCACCTATTGGAACGTATATAAAGTGACAAAAAGAAAAAGAAAAGAAAAAAACTTCCCTCAGAGCACAAGAGAGAGAAGTTATCCCACAGCGATGACAAGCAAAACAAGCACACAGCAAGAATCGTCCCTGCCAGGGTGTGTGTGTGTGTTGTTGCGCCTCAGCATTGCCCAGCAGCGCAGGCAAGGGCGGTCAGCAGCAGCAGTAGTAGAGACGTGTGTACAAACGGCGTGTTGCTGGCCTCACTGCTGTCCGCGTTGCTTTTTGTGTGCTTCGCAACGCCGGGACTCTTTGTGGTCGTCGTTGTAGTGGTTGAAGTGCCATCGAAGCCGGTGGCGGGAGGGGCGGAACTGGGCGCTTTGGGCGGGTCCTGAGAAGTTGAGGGTGCGTCTGTATTTCCGGGTGCATGTGCCGCGTTGCCCGCTGGATTGGTGCCTGGCTCAGTGTCCACTGCGCTTTTGCCTCCAGGAGAAGCCGAGGAGCTGCCAGGTGTTGCCTTTGCATTATTCCACCGCTCATAGAGTTTACTCTTGGGATCCAACGAATAGTTCGCCGTGCACACAGAAACAGCATCACCTGAAGACGAAGTACAGTGAGACTTACAATCTTTCTTCGAGATATCATCAGCCCAATAACAAAGAGATTTAGTAAGAAGATCATCTTCGCCAACGCTGCCTGCAGCGTCTTCAGTGCTGCTTGAACACATCATCCAATTATTCTCGCCAGGAAAGCGCCAACGTATATCTTTCCCATTCTCTGCACAGGTCAACTCCACCGTGACATTTACATCCTCCGAGATCCCAGAACTTGTCGCCCGCGCGGAGCAGCAGCAGTCGCACAGCAGTGAGAGAAACATCAGGGCGAACACTGCACGGCGCCGCACTGTGAACATCCTCGTCATTCGTCGTAGTAGCAGTAAAGTCAATGGAAGCAGTGAGCTGCAAAGCAACGGGAAAAAGAGAAGAGAAGAAACGAGGTGGGAGTAAATAAAGAAATAGGTAGGAAGTACAGTGGAGAGAGGGAGCGCAGACAACAAAAAAAAAAAAAAAGAAGTGGCGGTGAGGCAATTTTTCACATCAGGAGACCATATCTTTGCAAGCAAAACACACTGCGAAAACACTCCCTCCAACTTGTTACAAGTTTCTTATTGATCTGACGACGTCGTTGTTTCATAAGGCATCTCTGCTATTTTAGCGTCACTGTCCGACCGTGTTGGTTACATGGAAGAGGCCTTCACCGTATGGGCCAACAGTGGTAGAATAAGACCCGGGTCAGAAAGGCTGTACCGTGTGCCATTGAACGCCGTCGCAGGAAACAACTCCTCCGCTGAGAGGACCTGCTCTGCAGCGTCCTTGTCACCGTCAAGAATCTCAACCAGCATCCAAAGGCTCCTCTCAGCTTCAGGTGTCTTTCTGCATCCTCCCGCGGTAAACTCCGTCAGCACAGCAAGAACAGAAACAGCAACAGAGCCGCTCATAGTACTCGACAGGGCTGGTGAAAAGCTCCATGGAGAACGGTGACTAGCCACACTGTTGTTTGCCGCAAACAAAGGAAGAAAACCATCCACGTACAAACGGTAGTCGCGGTTTCGCAGCAACTCCTGCGGAAACAAAACAGAGTCACAGTACACAACTAGCGACACCAAAACGGGAGACACCACAGAAAGCAAAAAGTGTCCCTTTGCCCAGGAGATAATCAGCTTTAAAATCTTCAACGCAACATGAAACGTACCATTGGTGTTCAGATGTTCCAGTTTGCACATGTACTCAACAATCACAGTTATCAGGTCACTAAACAACTTCGACATAATTTCCGCCAAAATTATTCTGTAGAGTGGGGGCGCGGCACGAATATCAGACACTACATACTCATTTGTCTGAGAAAGTAAATTGCACAAAAGCAGATGGAAGTGGGAGCACAGTATCTCTGTTGCTGAAATCAAGTCGTCCTCCATAAAAATACGACCTCCCTCAAAACTTGGAGAGAGCGTTGAAAAATTGTCAATGAACCGTTGAACATGATGCACAGAAAGCAAGGCGAGCGTTTTGGCACAGTAATCCAACCCAGCAAGCCAAAATAGTTCAATTCCAGTAGAGGCATTTGAACCTCCCGCAAGTTGTCGCACGATGGTTTTTGCTCGTGTCATAAAAGTATTGACATCCAAACCTCTCAATTCGGAAATGCGTAGCGTCATCCTTTCAACATCAGACACATTACATGGATGGCTGGCGTGCAGAAGAGATCCGTAGATAACGTGCGTCAAAAGATTGAGCCAACTGCCAATGTGGCGCGTCTCTTCACACACTTCAAGAAGAACATGAGCCAAAAAACCAATCACAAACCGCTCTAGTGTTTCACCCGTCTGTTGTACATAAAAATTCAGAGTCAACTGAGCTTCTTTCGGGGCATGTCGCACCTTCTGAGACTCCTTATCGGTGTCTTTACTCTGCCTAAGAGCAGCACAAATTTGTTTAATAACTCTATGGACAGGGTCCTCCTTCAGATCCACCATTATCCGCTTCGAAGGCACCTTGGGAGGAGGCGGTGTTTCCTTTCTTGTTGAATCCACCACAGCCGGACCCCGGGTAAAACCAGGCCCTTGGGAATTTTTGTTGCGGATTTCATTTAACGTGTCCACTGTCGATCGTTTCGGAGATGTCATTAACGTTTGAAACACACTCTTCGGGCGTGCCAAGTCCTTGTCAAGGCTTCCAGTATTGGTTTCATCGCCCGCCTCCGTTTCCTGGGTCTCAGAATGGAGCTCATCACCCCTTTTTTCGCTCGCCGCCTCAGTCAGGCTATCAATGACACTAACGTAGTCATCGACAGCAATGGAGGAAGTTGGGGTGGCGTCGTATACACTGGGGATTTCCCAGGGAACCAGTGAAGATGCACTGCTTGTTCCACGCATATACGAGGTGAACGACACGGTGGGGCCGGTCTGAACGCTTTGTTGCTGATAATGCAGACACTCTGCCGTTCCCCTCAGTCTTAAATACAGCTCGACTGTACCGTTGCTTTCCCTGATAACCACCTTCCTTTCAGGAAACGATTCATCCACAATGTTCTTGCTCAAGTCATAGGAAAACGTTTTCACCGTCTTGGAACGCACCTCCTCAACGCGAAACTTGAGCTCCTTCTTCTTGTACTTCTGGTCGTTCTGTCGTTGCAGCGTTGAAGTAAAGGTGCGAAAGAGGTTCACATGCAACTTTCCTCCCTCGTCTGCGGTGAGCGGAGGGGATGATGTATGGATCTTGTCTCCGCGTTTAACATGAAGCACGTAGGTCCTCCCTGCCGCACACCCAGCCACCATATCGATCGACAAGAAAAAAACGATGCGCACATCCCGCGTAACTTTACGCTGCATTGTGGAGGTAAAGAAGAAAACTAGAAACTGTCTATAAATATACTTTCAACTGCGCATATGTGTTGCTGTTACTATGCGAAAGAGAACAGAAGAATGATAAGAAAAGTTTTTAAACCACATATACACAAATATATATATATATATATTTGACACATTCTCATTGGCTTCCTCACGAGCGTGCACTCACGTTAACTTTTTTTGTATTTTTGCCTCATTGAAAACAAGGTAATTTGATGCAAAAAAAAAAATAAATGAACGCTACTTTGTCGCCTCTTCTTTGTGTTTTTCGTTGTGGTGAGTCACCACCGTGGTGTTGTGCCTCTTGCATTAGAAGACTCGACGACCAACTCACGATCCCGTTCGTGTTTGAGCCTTGCGGTTTCTTCCGCGCTGCGAATCACCCCCAGTTCCTCCATATCGGCCCTACCCCTCCTCGCGGTACTCCACCGCTTTAGGATTGCGTCATCGATTGAGCCGCCGCTAAGGACCTTCTTGTGAACCTCCGTTGCTTCCCCCTCCCCCTCCTCCGTCACCTTCGCCCCGGTTTTAGGGTCCACGTTATCAAAGGACACCTTGCTGGGCTTATGCGCCAGCGAAAAAAGAACACGCGAGAACTCTGAAGCCGCATTCTCGCATCTAGACATCTGCTGAACCGTAGGCAACCCCTCCAAGGCAGACCGCTGTGTCACCTCTTTGTATCCCAACGCCTCAAAACGTTCGATATCAGTCGGGGCGGGGCAAACAGATGCAACGCGATGACAGTAACGTTCGCAGAGTGCACGCTCCTCACTTCGACGTTGTTCGGCAACTGCCATGAATTGAGACTCCCACCCTCTCGGGGCACGGCTGCTATTTTCTACCACCCTTTCAGTCCGCTCATGGCAAAACTTCGGGCAATCTGTGCATAGTGCAACTAACGAAGATAGCGTCTGCTGGCTTGTATTGTAACTGTCTCTACGTGTCTGAAGGGCCATCAGCGCAAAACTTCAAATGGAAACAAATAGAATAAAATAAGAACAATAAAAAAGGTGCAACTTTTCGTACCCACCCCACACAGCTTTTCTTTTTTCTTCACTTTTTCAGTTTGCAATTCATTTCAGTGATCCGGTTATCGACACTGCCATTGTCGCCAGTCTTCGTTGGGCTCTTGCACCGCCGTGAGGCTCCAGCTCCCCTCCATGGACCGTACACCAAGAAAATCAAACAAAACAGAAAATAACCACGTATCCTTAATCAAAAAGACCAAAGCCCATGTCATCATCGTCTTCCTCATCCTCCACAGCGGCGGCGGCAGCAGCAGCAGGCGCGGGGGCCGCGGCACCACCCGCAGCAGCACCGGCAGGAGCACCACTTGAACCTGCGGCTCCTCCCACAAGCTTTGCCTTGCCCTCAGCGCACAACGCATCAAAGTCCTTGCCCTCAAGCTCGGAAAAAAGTGTACTGATGCGGGAAGAGTCAACGGGCACGCCGGCAGCCTTCAAGACAGCCTCCACTGCAGCCTTTGAGGGGGTCTCCCCAGAAAGGTTGACAAGAGCGTACGCGGCAAGGTACTTCATGATGACCAGAGACCTTACAGAAGCAACAACAGGAAAAAGAAGAAAAAAACAAGGCAGAAAACATCATTTGTAATGCATCCAACTAAGTCCATAGGCCACACTTTTGGCCCGCATATAATACCCAAAAATACCGTCCCTCATTAAATCAGTGAATAAAACTGTAATCAAGAAAATCAAACAAAACAGAAAATAACCACGTATCCTTAATCAAAAAGACCAAAGCCCATGTCATCATCGTCTTCCTCATCCTCCACAGCGGCGGCGGCAGCAGCAGCAGGCGCGGGGGCCGCGGCACCACCCGCAGCAGCACCGGCAGGAGCACCACTTGAACCTGCGGCTCCTCCCACAAGCTTTGCCTTGCCCTCAGCGCACAACGCATCAAAGTCCTTGCCCTCAAGCTCGGAAAAAAGTGTACTGATGCGGGAAGAGTCAACGGGCACGCCGGCAGCCTTCAAGACAGCCTCCACTGCAGCCTTTGAGGGGGTCTCCCCAGAAAGGTTGGCAAGAGCGTACGCGGCAAGGTACTTCATGATGACCAGACACTCTACAGAAGCAACAACAGGAAAAAAGGGGGAAAAATCAGAGAAATTTACAGGAAGAAATACAAAAGAAAAAACATAGAAGGAGGAAACAAATAAATAAATATAGCAATAAACAACACAAAACAAAGTATGAACTACTGGTGGTTGTTTATGTTGGTTGGACCATTACAGCAGTGCCAAAAGTGCCTGCGGTGTCCCCCCCCCTTTTTTTTTTACTCCGTGTTTCGCTTTCCTTCACAAGAAAAGCATCCTAGTAAATTCGTTGCATCTTTTGAAGCAAATCTTTAACGACCTCTCTTGTTAGCGGAAGGGTAGGCAAACCCTTTTCAAAGAATAGGGCATTTACGCCATCCACAGTCATGCACCCGTTCAGGTGAACGTCACTCTCTCCAGCAATATGCTTGTCCACACCAGAGTGTTCCAAAAACTCCTCTAAAGTGGACTTCATGGAGGCAAAGCAGCCTCTAATGCACTGATCAGCCTCGCGCACTACGCGCTCTTGAGTGGCGTGTGGAAGAGTTAAAAAAGACTCAATCAAATCTCCACTACAGACACACTTGGACAGATATCGTTTCCGGCGCTGCCTAAAAACTTCCTGCGACACGGGGTTTGCGTTTTCAAATGAGGCATTACGACTATACCCACGTTCTTGTCCGGCGCGAAGAACCTCTCGATAGGTGGCGTGCTCAAACCCTCCCAACGCTGGAACTGCTGACGCGACACCAACCTCTAGGGCCTTGAGAAGAAGATAGGTTTCGTTCGATACGGGAGTTATTGTACCAAAAGCTCCATGAGATGTCCCAAACACTATTTGTGGGCCCAAAATGCCAGGGATGAGAGTACTGTGAACAGGAACAGCAGTATTTTCAAGCAAACAAGGTGCAAAACTGCCTAGTTGCATCGCCGTCACCATGTCACCCAGGTGATACTGTGCCTTTGTCTTAAGTTTGCTGCGTGCCACTGCCACTGGTGCCGCACCTGAGGAACTCGGTGACGGCAGAGCACCACGAGATAGAGAATAAAAATTGTAGTAATCATCGCCAAAGCATATATCGTGGGTTTTACCTGACTCAAGCACAACACCATCCATAACTCCTCGCGGCTCTGTGTCACGAGCGACAATCTTAAGACTCCCCTGAATGGTATCGACCTGGATAAAGAAGCAACTCTGGCGAGCATCAAACGCCACTAGATAAGAAGCATCTGGTTGAAATATAGGTTGTAGACGGGTTACAATGGTACCAACGGAAACTGTTTCTTCGGCCACAAAAACTAAGTCCGCAGCGTTCCAACTATACAGCGCTACGCAGCCATTTATTCCAAGGGCTATTCGACCACTATAATTTGGAACAACGCAACAACACTGCAGTGCCCCCTCAACGTCTTTGCTACCAAGTTGGCGTAGCTGTGGGCGCTCGGAGATCAACTGGCCTTCCTCAACCGAATACCATATGAAGCGACTGGACCGCGGCAACTGCTCATCTGGAAACGCAAAGGTGGTACCCAGGAGTAGTGTCTTATCTCCATCCCTTGCGGTATCCGTCGCCGACTCATTGGCGCCCCCAAGAACTACAGGTTCAATAAAAACGCATCGCTCATTTTCCAATAGCTCAATTGCAACGGGGTCTTTTTGTGGAACCCATGCAATAGTCAACTCATGCTCCATTAATAACAACATCTGATCTTTCTCATTGTGGCGAACGGCGAGCACAAAGACGTTCCACCACGCAATGTACTTCACTCGAGTCACAGTGGCATTCAGGCCAAGAAAGCGAGAATTTAGTTTTTTAATATCCACAATGTTTCCAAGCACAAGGGCATTTTCACTCCGTGAAAAAAACATGTATTTGGAAGCAATACGAGGGTTGTCAATAACGGCACATACCGCGACATCATTAAAGTCAATCCCAGTGAGTTGAAATCCCGTATCGCAGAGAATAACAATGAGAGGGACTTCGCCAAGGCAGAGAACCGCATTATGGCCTTCCAAATTAAATAGTTGCACGGGTTGCATCCTAATCAGTGTTTCCTGCGCAGCACCCTCCATCGTCATTGCCTCCAAAGGAATATCCGCGATGCATCCATTCAGTAACCCAACGACAAGTCGTGAGGTATGAAGGTGTGAGAGAACACACATGGAACACGGGGTAGCAGAGCAGAGAATCCGACCCTTCAACACAACCTCCCCGTCATGAAACTCATAAAGGCAGACGGCACCAGAGTTCCATTCCCCAATTGCAAAAGTGTACAAGGATGTAATCGTCACACATGCAACCTCATTTTCCAGCTCAATTGACACCTTTGAAAGAAGCGTTGTTAGATCCACGACCGAGACGTATCGTGAGCTTGAGAAAACAAGTAATCCCAAATGGGCATTCGCATTTGCGTGATGGATGCCCAATTCATCGTTGCGAATCGTGTACGTCCCGTGGCCGCCACCCTTTACAACGTACACCCCAACTGAGGTCACTTGGACATATGTGTCTCGCTCAAGGTCATACACCAGTGTCAAGGTCTCCTTCGATTTGTCAAACGGACTCTCTGAAAGCTCCTTAATAGATAACGTTGGTGTTGTTTGAAACTGACAGACTCGGCTATACCCAGGAAAGGAGAGAATAACAACATCTCCGGCAGCACACATTCGTGTAACGTCTAAAATATTTTCCATGGAGGCATCGTGGCGGACATTCACGGCGGAGCGTTGAAGACTTAAGCCGCCACTCATACCCACGCCAGTACTCGCAACGACGCTTACACGAGGACCATCGAGTGTCACTGTTAGGTCAAACATTGGCCCGCAATTTTCCAACAAAACACCACTTTCTCCTGTAAACCACTTCATCCAAAGTGTATGCGCCATACGGGAGCCTACCACGCAGTGTCCTCGAGGAAGCAGTACAAGCGAGCTTGGTATGGTGCGTAGCGACAACATGATGGAATTAACCAGTACCATTTTACCTGGGTTCAAACCCTCCGCTTCTTCTTTTACGGTGGTTTTAATACATGTTCCATCCCAAAACAAAATCAGTAAATCTCGAGTGGGAAGTGAGGCGCAACAAACGGGTTCCACGTAAGCGCTAAAAGGAGGAAACGCCAGCGTTGTTACAGGCCTAGACAACGTTGACGAATTCCCTGCCGACTTCGAAGAAACAAACGTGACCAGCTGAGGTCCGAGTACAAACAGGCCATCAGCGTTAACGTGTAAGAGGCATGCATTCGTTTCGACGTTTGCCAAAAACACGTCCCTCCTTCTGAGCATATCTCCTCTGGGAAATACGTCCAACGTGTCTGGTAACCACGGCCAAATGGGCTTCTTCTGTACTCTGCTCTGTCCCTCGTTCACACCAAGATCAATGAAGTACACAGAGACATGCGTTTTGGAGGAGACATCCGCGTAAAGAATATAGAGAACAGCGCTATTTTTTTCCTTGTTGCTTGGCCCAAAGGCCATACTCCGGACATCCAATTCTGAGGCGCTGAGGTGTCCTTGAGTGAAAAGGGTCTGCTTCTTTCGCTTTCTCAAGACATTTTGAGCGTAGTCAGGGGAAAAGAGCCTGTCTAGAAGGGGCGCATTCTTGCCCCTCCCACCATAGCTGGCAATTGCGGCAGCGACATCGAAAAGAAAAACACCTCCGCTGTGAATAGAAAACGTCACTACAGGAAGAATCTCATCGCCAAGAGTCTGATAACACCCTGAACAGCATAAGAAAGCCCTATCCGGCCGCTCCTGGTAAAAGCAAGTGTCAACTTCGCCGTGGAACAGGGTGACCATTTTAATAGCTCCCTCACTGTTGCGTTCAAATGCCACGATGGAGACCCCCTGCTTAACTGAAAACAGAAAAACTACATGCCTGCCAGAGCCTTTGGAATCAAATAGTGGCAACGCCTCCATGTGCTTCAGAGACGCAAACAACGTATAATCGCTAAGGTGCTCGAGCGTGTCATCCGTCTCTCTGTAAAGCGAGACCAAATTCAGACGATTCAACAGCACTAGAGGCTCATCATTCCCCAAAAAAAAACCGGAAACAGCGCCCAGCACTGCAGTGGGTTGTTTGCTTGTAGATGCCACAAAAGGCATAGCTGGCTTTAACCGGCTACCCTTGGAACCAATCTTCCACTTTCTCCTGTGCGTGCGTGCTCCTTTATTCACTTATACACACGTATGTATAAAATGTAAACCGGAATATATATATATATATATTATAGTAGGAAAAAAGCACGTTAAAAAACAAGAAACAAAAACGAAAGACAAGGCGCGCACACACAAATAGAGAAAACAAAGAAAAAAGTAAATCACAATCCAACACAGCCAAAGGAGGCAGTTGTTCGCATGCCTGAGTAAACGCACCGGATTGTTCACATCAAAGCTAACCCCACGCTTTTACCACATCTTCCCCCACCCCCACCCCCACCCCCAGCACCCCACCTTTCCAGTCCATTTTGTTGAAATTTTTATTTTGGTCAACTCCGAAATTTATGCACTCAAAAGTTCTTTGAGTTCTAAGTCTATGCATGTATGTATGCAATGTGTGTGTGTATGTGCGCGCCTGAACGCATTTTGTAGGCGAGACCCAAGACGGAACACACTGCCAGCTCAACAAAAACAGTCCACAATACCGTCGCAGTAACGGGCTTTTCGAAGCAGAATGGTGACCGTGCGCAGCAAGGCTGTCGGCAACATGATGGACCTGGCTTCTGTCGTACTTCCTGCCGCAAAGTACACCCTTCCATCCTTCACCGTCTTGGTGTCACGTCTGATGTCCCAAAAGGAGAGCGCAAAGGCATTCTTTTTTGTTTCCATCACCATAACCGCACGAAACCCTGCGTACACGAGGATGTCCAGACACCACGGCAAACTGTCCTCGGCTGACTCAAGTGTGTTGTATTTTGGGCGAAACAAGGGCTGCGATGTGTCATTGCAACGCACAGAGATATGAAAGGAGCCATCTGACATGCGAGCAACAAGCAGTTGAATATCCGCATCACGATACTCCCCTGTCAATTTGTACAAGGACTTCAAAACAGCATCCTTCACGTAGACAACATCACCTTGTTCATCCCCTGCACCACACGAAGCGAACAGTTCGGTGTCCCAGGCAAGGCGCCACTCTCTCGAGGCACATGGCATCGTCACCGTGTGTTCATCTCTCCTGTTTCCTTCAAGGTAGGGAACAAAAAACTTGGTTATAGCTAATTTTTTCGCAGCATTAGCCTCCAAACAACTCGCAGCATCTTTGCCTGTATTGCGTTGCGCCAGGACAGTTGAGGCATTGGGAAAAACAACCAACTCATCACGAAAACCTTTGGCGGCAAGCTCTTCACTTAGCAATGGACTTCGGTTTCCGGCGCCTGGTGCGACTGTTTGCATCGAAGCCCTTCCATAGTAAAAAACCGTATCTGCATCAACGTCATAGATCAGCTTCGTTTTATCGTTAAGAAAAACAATTGGATACTGCTTCCTATTTTGATACACGAGAAATCCGTAACCGTACTTGTTGGAGTGGACACTGCTCTTAAGCATGACTGAAGGTGAAGGAGGTTTTGGTAAAACTAACTTACCAGGTGTACGTGAATAACGCACTTCAGACGCCGCCTCACTAATACAATCATTTTCCTTAAGGAACTCGTGTAGTGTCATTTGTAGTTTATGATCCGTTCTTGTCTTCTGATCCTCCTTCTGCAATACATTTTTTTGGTAGTCCGTAGGCACCGCGTCACAGTAGGCAAATGGGGAATGAATTGCAATGGGTGAAGCCCACAACGGACTGCCACGCCCATTGGAAGATGTAGATCTAGTTGCTTGAGGAGGCAGAAGCGATCTTGGCACTGTGCCGGCAGGCGGTGGGTGGCACAAGAAACTGTGACTTAAAATTTGTGCTGGGCTTGGTCGTTGTTGCGGTTGCTTTTGCAACATCCAATGAATTAGTTCCTTACACGATTCTGGCACCGCTGTCCCAGTTGGAAAACGATAGTACACACGGAGTATTCTGTTGTACGTTGCCTTGATGTCCTTCGTTTCAAACGGAGGGGTACCAAACGCCAATGCGTACAGGATTACTCCCAAACTCCAGACGTCCGCCTCTAAACCGTATCCCAGCCCCGTCTTTTCGGTAGCAAGCACCTCAGGGGCAATGTAGTTGGGCGTACCACACGTTGTCTTCTTCTTATCTGACGCCGAGGCAAGCTCACTAGCAAACCCAAAATCTCCCACCTTCATGTTCCCGGAAGCATCAATCATAATGTTCCCGAGCTTTAAGTCTCTATGAATAACCAAGTTACTATGCATATATTCAACAGCTGACACAATTTGAGTCATGATGTACTGTATTTCACCGGTAGTAAAAACACCTCGCTCCTTCGACAAATCCATTAGACTCTTCTTTCTGCACTGTTCCAAGAGAATATAATGGTAAGAGTCATCTTGAAAAGCCTTTACAAACTGCACAATATGCGGATGCCTCACTCTGCTGTGGATGTCAATTTCCATTCGCAACTTCGCCTCGGAGCCGCGACGCACCAAATTTCCTTTATCAATTATCTTCCCGGCATATTGCGCATTCGTCGCCAAATCTTTGAACTCATAGACTTGTGCAAAACCACCTGTGCCAAGCAACGATCCACAACTATACCTACACATGACCTCTCTCGTTAAGGGATCCCGCTCCTCTACAATGATGCCACAACCATCATAGTATGTGGCCTTTGTTCGCGGGGGTGACATAATTGCGGAGGCCGCCCGCTGTGGAGGTGAAGATGACGTGGCTGGGGCGAGCTCGCCACAAGGTCGAGAACCAGTAGAGGACGCGGGTCTGTAAAGGCCTCCCAAACACGGATAGCGCGCCTCAGCGAGTGGGGAAGGAGAGCAAGGGATTGCATTATTCAAATTTTGCACTGGACTTGATCTCTGTGCGGCGTTATCAACTTCAGTCCCAAGTACCTTTCCTGTTTGACTCTTAATAGGCCGTGGAGGCATGTATTGGTGAAACAGCGGCGATCCCTGAGACTCACTACGGTATTGCGATGACTGTGTAACCACATGCAAGTTCCACTCCTGCTGTGAAGAAGTCCCTTTATAGAGTGGAGATCCAAAGGATGGAGACCGCGTGTCTTGTCTACAGGCCTCTAGCTGCATCACTATTGTCCTTTTGTGGGCCATTTGTAGTCAGACAGCAATCACACCTCCGTTGTCGCCTACACAAATTTTATCCCTTTCTTTCTTTCTTTCTGCAGTTTATATCTATAGATAGATATTCTTTAAAAAGCCCTTCACTGGTCAGAGTACAAGGCAAAAAGCAAAAAAAAAAAGTATTTCTTAAAAAGAAGGGCATATCGAAGCAATAAATGCTAAATAACATCAAGCGAAACAAAAAACAAAACGACAACGACAACAGAAAGAACAAAAACAATATTACAAACCCTGTGTGGAACTTATCACTAAAACCAGTCAAAGTTCCAATGCTGCTTATGTTGCTATTCCTGTTTGTTTGCTCCCCCACCTAAACATTTTTCCCCCATACCCAAAACGCAGAGCGCTACGCTTGACGCCAACTCTAATCTTCACTAGGCCCCGCATTCAGTGGTGAGATTTGATCGGGGGTCCAAAGACGAACCAACCAGCGACAGCGCTCAAGCAGACAACCACCATCGCCTTGTCAATCACGGAATCCCCTTCAGGACCTGTGGCTCCGTTTACCTCAGACGTCTTCGGTGTTTTGGACACCTTCGCTGCACCTAAATCTGCCCCGTTGGCTGATGCAGCCTTTTTTGCAGTGGACGCATACACCGGCAATGTACGGCGCGCAGTAACCACAAGACTTCGGTGAAACATGTTTTTTAGGTATACTCAAAACGCCTAACACAGTATATATCTATCTAATATATATATATATATATTCTCCGGTCCTATTCCTTTGTAGCTCTTCCTACAACTGAGCGGTGGTCTGGATACAGTGAATTTAAAATAAAACACAAAGTGCAACAAGAGCAGTAGAGGGGCAGAGCGTATTGCATTTTTTTCATTATTATTATTATTAATATTATTACTTGTTTAGGTTGATTGGTTTGTATTGTGTTTACCAGAAGGAAAGGGAGCATCCTTTTCTGTAGAGGAGGAAACACTCAAGTAAAGTCAAACAAATACCGCGGTCTCGTCCCTGACAGTATTCTCCTTCACAACGGCACACACACTATTTCATGTGTGTGTGTTTTGTTTTGTTTTTCCATTCCCTACCCTTCTTGGATATTTCAACACTGCGTAAAATACAAAGGTTGATACAGTAACAATAGTGAGAAGAAAACAGGCGGTGTCTACTTCAAACGTCGACCGTAGGAATCACCGCACATTGCGCCGATTGCGTCAATGGTGGTCTCAATTCTACTGCAACGGCTAGAGGAGTAACGGCTGCTACACTGCAGGTGGATGGTATTCAAAGTGTCTTCAAGGGAGTCTATGTAAGAAAGAACGCCACGATTTAAGGTAATCTGTACCCCGTTATCTAATAACGGCAGCTTGTACCTGGTACCAGGGGGATTAAAGGCGACAAAAGGCAAGTTATACCTGTAAGAAAGAATTTTGGCATATCCGCCGTTGAATTGATCGCCAATAAGCAGAATACGATCTTGTTTCCCAGCACTAATCAAACCCTCAATGTACTCCGAGACACCCTTTAGAGCATCCGCGCTCGGAAACCATCTCGTCAAAAAAGAGGCACCATACACAAAGGAGGTTCGGTAATTCTCAGGCCAAATGCTGAACAGCGGCGATATTGCCCCAGCCACCTGAAGGGCCATAGTCGTCCCCCACTCATCGACGTTGCGCAGGAGGGATAAGCCTCGATTGTTGGAATTCAACGTTACAAAGTGGTAGTCGCTACGCAAATCGGTGTAGTCCGAAAATGGAATCGCCATTCCACTTGTTGCGTAATCCCAGTTGGGCTGCAGGCGAAGCGGGTACTGACGGATAAGTTGGGGAAACTGAGAAAACCATGTCGCAAAGTCCGCGTCGCCATACCCCGCAAACGTGTAGGCGAGGGCACTTAAAAGGGATAAATCATAGATGGTAAGCGGAGCCGAGCCGTTTTGGTTGTACCTCATACTGCAAAGCGGGAGTTTTGAGTTCTGCGCGATGATGGGGCCGCCTTTAGTGGCAATATTGCTGGTGAATTCGTACACCATGACGTTCCCAATAGAAATGACAAATGCCAAAGCAAAGAGAAGTATCAGCCACCAATACAAAAGCACCTTTTGATCCGTCCGGATGGCAATGTTATGTAGCGCGTACTGGTTTTCGGCGCGGACAATGTCAGGATGACGATACCCAAAAAAAGTCTTCACATCAAAGCATTTCAAGCAGCTCATAACAGCATCTCGGCAGCAGAGCAGGTGTGTATCAAACCTGCGCCGCTGCACATCGTGTTGCATTTCAGCATCCAAGGGAATCTGAAAAAGAACACACTTTTCCTTCCTAGTCAGCGTATGCGGCGTTTTACGGGTAAGCATCCCCTGTGCAGCGATGAACAGTACAATCACCATAAACGTCAACTCCTTGGATAATAAAATGCCACCACACACTAAACCAGCAACGAGTAACGCTGTGATAAGGTACAAAGATAAGTACACCGAGTACTGCGCTTTCCGATGCAAGAGTGACAGCCACGAAATGGCGTAGACGCATGTAAGTGTGATACTGAAAGCGGCTCCCCATGTAACCTGTGGGCTCCCAATGAGACTTCTGAGCACCTGAGCCATGTAAAGAGCGAGTAAGGGCACATATCCAATGGTAAATACAACCGCATTCCAACGCAAACTTTTTCCATCTAGCCCAAACTCTTCCAAAACGGTAGAGGCATGATACCAGCGTTTCTTCAGAGGTCGAGCCCCCCTGTGAGATGCCGCCTTTTCCCAAAGTGTAAACTCATCCCGTTCCTTGCGCTTCTTAAAAGCCTGCTGCTTCAATCTCAGTGCACTCCAGTACAGCCAGGCGTAACAAAATAGAATTCCAAACATGGTGACAATGATGGAGATGAACGCGTACGATTGGGCAAAAAAAAGAATTGACTGATTATTTGTGGAAGTGGCAATAACGCTCCATAGAAACGGAAATACAGTCGTTGCAAGAATGACCACAAGGTAAACAATATACGGTGGATTTTTTCCTGAATAATGTGACATTCCCAAAAAGTAAACATCATCGCGTTTTACATGTTTCAGACCCTTGAGTATATCCATCCAGGTGCAAAACCAGGTCACCAAGGTAAAGCTCAGCAAGATGAACACAACGAAAAACCCAAATAGAAATGTAGGGTCAAATTGCTCTCCCGATGAAGAGACATGCATTCTGAACAGCACCTCAAAGGTCCAATTCAACGAAAGAACTAACAGGAGGACACCAGTACAATATAGTAGAAAAAACAGGTACAACCGGAACTCCACTGACATAAAAATCTCTAAAATAGTATCAATGTACCAGCCGTAGGAACGTGGTTCCCAATCCTCAAACTCATACGAGCGAATAAGATTTTCTGGTGTGACAGGAACCTCCCCCGCGTCTTCGTCCGCCTCGTTTGTTATCCCATCCTGTGGGGGATAATAATAGTAATTTCCATCTGAGGGTTCATAATAATAGTTTTGATAGTAATTGGGGTCATAGTTCTCCGTGGGAGTTTCTGTTACACCCTCAGGCTGCTGCGCTTGCTCGTGGGGAGTGTCCTTCTCACGCATTTGGGTGTCTGCCAAGGCTGACCCCGTGGTCTGGTTCTCATTCATAATAGAGGTAAACTACGTGAATGAGGAAAAACACGAACAAACGACAGGAAATGTTGAAAATAAAGCAAATAGTCAGAGAAAAACAACAACCAAAAAAAAAAGAGCGAGAATGCAAGCAAAGAACATATTACATTTACTTCCTTATGTAAGGAAACACGCAGCTATCCATGCCTTCCATTTATGCTTGGATTCAGTGTAACTGTGGTAACTCCACCACACCAAGGTGGTGGCATTCAGAAATCTCCAGATTACTCCTTCTTATGTCGTTCGTCATTACGTGAAATTTGCCTCCCCCCCTCCCCCCTCCCCCTTCACAAAGGCAGAATATGCGGCTGAAGGATGTCTTTCCCTCTTCTTCCCGTAGAGTGGAGACCACAACCAACAGGTGATCGCAGTTTGCTTCGATATACCTGGTATTCCCCACTTATGGGAGCTTCATCCCACATTTTCACACACCAGTTGACAGCTTAGTTTCTCAATTGAGTTATGGTAACTAGGGTCTCGTCATCAAATGACATAGTAACCGTACTTAGTAAGTTCCACAACCGCCGCATTCCCTTCCACGTAGAGCGTCGCAGTAGTAGAAGTTTCAAAATCTGCAGAGTGTAGGGCGGCACAAAAAAAAGAGGGAGGAAAAAAAAAAACTTCACTCGCTGGCTTACGATGCGGTGACGTTAGAAACATTAATTTAGGGGCAGATAAACATGAAGGTTTGACAAGTCACTTCCATTTCTTTGTTTGATCTCATCTGTTCACTCGATATATATATATTATTTCTCTTCTTCCTTTCCAAGGATTTTCACACATAGATCTATCAAAACACAAAAAAAGGCATACATGAACTACTTCATCCTTCACAAAAATATCGATTGCGTAGCAGTCACAAAAGCACAAATAGAAGTGTGCTTCGCCTTTTCGAGGAACATTTTGACAAGGCGCCAAGACATTTAGAAAGACACGTTTTACCTCCTAAGTTATATATATATATATATATATATATATATATATACTACCTAC